TGAGTTCCAAGTATGTGGCAGCAGGGACGATGACCCCGGACCCTAAAGAACCAGGGGCAGCTCTGCAGGACCATGGTCAACAGGCAGGTGTTATTTCTCTTAAGTCTTGATCCTCATCCATAAGAGGAGATTGGTAAGAATGGCATTTACCACTGAGGAAAGCTGAAATGACAAGTGTTTGCAAGACACTAGATAAAATGCTAGCAAGAAAAGCTGCTGTGATTATTGTTGATATAGATGACAAAGACAGTGATCCATTCTGGTAAGAAGTTTGGATCATCACCGTAAGGATGCAAGCATTCTGTTAACAGCATCAGATATAAGTCACAGCTCAATGAGGGTAGGGGAGAGCCCCTCAGTTCCCTGCTGTGTCAGACTAGGGGTAGTTCTTGGGACCCAGAGAGATCTGGTGATTCCCTGGCTGCCTCTGTGAAGAGCAGAAAAGTGGTAGGTACCAACTATTATTTTTTTAAGATTCATTTGTTTGTGCATACAGAGCTGGGGTACAGGCCAGAGGTGCAGGGTTGGTGAGAGGCTTCCCCAGAGACAGAGTGGGGAGCAGAACAGGCCGACTGACAATGTACACTGCCAAGGGGAAGCAGTGGGCGGGTCAGGTGAGGTCTGCTGGGCCTTGTGGGTCACCTCCTGGTCGGGGATCGAACTCATGCTGAAGTGGCTTGAGTTTTAACAAAGGAGGGCTGGCACCAACTTTTCTATGAAGGGGCGAGTAGCTTTGCTGGGGAGGGAGGACTTAAGCCAAAACTTTCAATGTCCTAGCACATACAGCAGTACTGCCTTGTATAAAATGATAGTGTGGTCTGGTATGCATGTTGGAGAGAACAAATATCTGAAAGGGCTCGACCAAAATATTACAGTGGGACACTGGGAGACAAGAACATAACTTTTTAAAAGGAGCATGAGTGTATTTTGCAATTAGAAAAAAAAAATGTCTGTTCTATGTAATAGAAGGTAACTCATAATTCAGACTTAAGAGTTCTGGAACACCGTATAAGTGAGAAGTCATGTTTTCTAGAATAGTGTAGGAAGGTCTCACAAGGAGGTGGCATTTCAGGGGTTCCTAAAGGAGGGATAGGGTTTAGATATCTGGATGGGAGAAGACAGCTAGAAAGGAGATGTAAGCAAGTGAACAATCGTGCTAAGGGTGCTCCCTGGTGGCGTAGTGGTAAGTCACGGTGCGCTGACCCACATATGGCACAGCAGACCTCTCCTGTCTCACCCTCTGTTCCTCTTTGCAATGTATTTTAGTAAGTCTACCTGTTCTATTCCCCACTCTGTCTCTGGAGAACCTTCTCAAACTCCACACCTCTGGCCTACACCCCAGTTCTTCTACAAAAACAAAAAAAAACAAAAACAAACAAAAAAAAACATGGCAGGTGTAGCCTCTACCAGTTTTTGCTTCTCTCAACTCGAAAGGCACTTTTGCCCTGCTTTGTGATTCTGGAGCTGAACCCTGTAGAAATTTCACTTCTGCCAGCTGGTACAATGCTGGTTTGTTCTGTTACTGTATATTTAGGGCATGGAGAAAGAACCCTCCTACCACAGGAGGGACTACAGAGAGGAGACCAAGATTAGAAAAAGCACAAGAAACTTAGGCAGGGTCTTCAACTCCAGGCAGAAGCTTTGCTGAGCTGAAAACTAGTGAGAAATCTCAGCATAGCTAAAGGTCTCCTGGGGCCAGAACAGCCGTGAGACTGCTGAGCACTGAAACTTCTGGCCTGCTGTTTCCTTCCTCCACAGACTACCTCTTGAAGACACCAACTTCTCACAATGCTACAAGTATTTCATACCACTACCTTTCTCATTGTATTGCCATTACCTGCAATCCCCTCTACCATTCCTTGGTGCCTGGATAAACATCAGTCCTTCAAAAGACTAGTCAGGAATCGTTTTGGTGAAAGAAGTCCATTCCCCTTACTCCCCTACTTTCCTTCCATACATTCCTTCTAGACCGCCTCTATGCCCTGGGCCCGGTCATCTAGGCCTGATGTCTTTGTTTACCTTTTCCACAAGACTGAACTTCCCACTGGCTTTAATTTTCCCCTGAATCTCCAGAAACTAGGCTGCCTTGAATATAGCGGGTGAGCTGAGCTGACTTAGCTGTGCCTCGATGCCTGAGGACCCCTCTAAAAAGGAGAATTGCTGGGGGGATCAGTACAGTAGGAATGAGTGGCTATTTTGATGTTTCTGGTTTAGGAGACATTGGTGAGCCAATCTGTATTCTACTATAAATTTCACCAGCATGTTCTTTCTCTACTTCTCTCTTGTGCACATGCTGGGCTAAGTGGTGGGGGAATTAGAATCTTCTGTTAATCCTTCTGCTTTGGACCCAATCTATGAAATGATGACAAAGAAAACCTCTCATTCTTCCTGAAGTTTTTTTTTTTCCATGTGCATTTCATTTGAAATGCTCTCTTAACTTACAAGAGAGGAAAGTTCAGAGGCACACTACAGAATAGTCTTCGCATTGCTGGCATTCTGCGAATTGAGCTGGTTAAGTGGCTTTCCAGCACACTCTTACCTATCCTGAGCAAGGAGCATCTAGATTTTGATTGGGCTATTGCCAGAGCTTATTAACATAGTGTACCTTGACCTGGATTAGGAGCAGCAACTCTGCACAGAAAATGACCAGAGCCTGCTGGGACCTGCAGCGGAGATGAGACTTTTATGACACAGTATTTTCTGCACCTCCGTAAGAAGTCAGAAGGTAAGAAGCCAGAAATCCTGAGGCAAATGTAAGGGATGTTGTAATGGCTACCTACTTATTTCTACAGGGTTTCAGTTGCTCTAGCTGGTTTTCTGTCGAAATGATGAAAATGGAATACACTTGGGCCTGAATTGCTTTAAAAAAAGGGAAATCCTGACATATTTAGTTTTTTGATCCAAGAGGAAAATTATTTATGTTCTAAGGGTGCAACACAGTCTTTTCTTCTCTACGATATTATGTTCTTCACTTTCAGAGAAATATTAATGTTTATCCACTTCGTAAAAAAATGACAGAAAAAATTGAAAAAGTAATGTAGTTTTTTGCTGCATGATTTTTTATTTTCTAATTTGAAAACCAAAGAATGATGTCTTTGGTTTCAAACAATGTTTTCGATTTTGGGGGAATGTGAATCTTATGATTCAAATTTTCTCTTAAAGGTAAATCTAGTCAATTAGCTATAACAAATGTTAAACTCTTACTGTTGTTTGTATTCAAAGACATAAGTATATAAAATGGTTGTTATCACATTAACATGTAATATTTCTGGCTAGTATACCTTCTATTCAATTCTTTTGAATTAATGCCAATCATTTCTTAAGTAACTCAGTGTTTACTTCCCAAGCATAGAATTGGATATAAAATTCATGGGGATTTCACCTTGCACCTCAGTGTTTGAACTGGGGAATAGGCACTTAGCCATCATTGAGTCTATAACCACTAGGTTGTTGGTGAGTGTGGGTAGGTGGGATAGGGAGGAAACAGCCTCCATTTGGTTTGTTATTTAATGGTCAAAAACTTCATTTGTGTGTTCAAGTCAACAATCTTCTATATCCAAACATTTTTCCTTCAGTAAATATCAGCGTTCGACAGCTATCAGAATTTTATTAAGTCAAGTGACCAAGAAACAGATCTCCTGAGACTTCTCACAGGTCAGATTATTAATCTAACTTGCAGTTTGAGTTTACAAGTAGCGCTCCCCCCCCCTTTTTTTTTTTTTAACAAAAGACCAGTGACTGGGAATGTCAAATGTCTCACTTCATATTCAGTAACAAGCACATTTAATCTACAAAAAAATATATATATATAGTTCTTTTTCTCAGACTATAACAGGCAAAACTAAATTCCATCCTTCTTTCCTTTTTTTCTTCCTCTCTCCATCCCTTCTTCCTTCCTTTCTTACTTAAGTTCTTTTTGTATAATCCTCTCTAGTCAACTATATAGTTTCTAACTATATAGTATAGAGCAGTCTTTCTCTTGGGGGGAGAAATGCAGTTTGCACAGTTTTGAACATTATTTCCATAATACAATTTAATTGAAGTGAAATGACACTGAACTTTCTTGTCAGGGGCAGGGAAGAATGAAATTGCTAAAGTTAGAAAGTTTTCAAGTGTGCTTTGAATTAAACAAAGTTGAGAAACACTAATTTAGAGTTGTAGTTATCAAATGAATTTGCCCCTTCCCCCAGGGACATTTAACACATTGTTGTTAACCTTTTTTTTTTTTCTGGTCACAAGGAGGAATGGGTGACTACTAGCACCCAAGGCTTCAGAGGCCAAGGGTGCTGCACAGACAGCCCCTACAGCAACAAATCCCAGGTCCAAAATGTCTACAACACTAACATTGTGTGAATCTGATATGAGGGCTATCATGTGATAATATTTGAAGGTATAAAGTGCACACTGGATTTATTGAGGACACTAAAATAATCCCAATGGCACTTTGGATTTAAATAATATTCCTACGTGTTCTGATTACGATGTCTCCCTCTCATAACTTCAAGCTAACTTATAAAAGCCTGCAGAAACCACACCAAACCAGCCACCCTCTGCTCCAGCACATGAACGAAGGATTCTAACTGATGGATACACATGTCAAAGGTTCCTCTGAAGGAACTCACAATCTCTATTTAGCAGTGAAAAAGGAAATGCAAACCTGAAGGGGAAACCAAAGATCTCAAGTGCTTCTGATCCAAATGGTCAAACTTTATTTCAGCAAGTTGCTAACGGCTTTTATGGTTTTTTGTTGTATGTTGGTGCTTGCAAAAATATCATTGAAAATTGTTTTTTCATTCAGACAAGCACTAACTTTTAACCTCCTTAATGATCATCTTTATTCATTATCATTCATTTGTTTTTTTAGCATTAATAAAACAGTTTTCTGGTCTGAGACCCTGGTGTGGACCAAACCAACCATATTAAGAGCCTTTGAGAGAAAAGTTCTCAAGCATTCTAAGGGGAGTTGAATAGACAGAAACCTGCAGGTGACCTGATTTATCATGCAACCTGAGGACTTTGGTTCTGAAGACAAAGAGATGTTAAGCTGGGATATTAATGACATGAAACTGCCACAGGTAGGTACTTGTTACAAGATTCTGCCGTCAGCGTTTGGCTAGGAAACCTTGACTATTAACTTACTAAGACCTGGAAGGAAATGGTATGGATCCCAACTGTGTAAACTCCTCTCCCCAAGAACTTCAGCTGGATATTTGACTGAGGAATTTTAAGAGAAGACACAAAACCCATGATTTGAGGGGGGCTTTACCCAGCAGGCTACTTCCCCCACTTTCAAAGTTGGCTTGTTTCAGGTCACACTTACTGGCTAGCTAGTAGAATAAAATCCATGGTAAGGTATTTGCCCATAGCATAAGTCCCCACATAACCCTATTTGTCCCAGTGATGGTTTGTTTTTCTTTTAAAAATTTTATTTAGTTATGCACATAAGAACTGGGGTACAGGCCAGAGGTTCAGGGGTGAGAGGATTCACCAGAGACAGAGTGAGGAGCAGAACAGGCAGATTGACTGAAGTACACTGCTGAGGGGAACAGCGGGCGGGTCAGGAGAGGTCTGCCACGCCATGTGGGTCAGCTCCCTGCCTGGGGACCAAACTCAGGCTGCAGTGGCTGCAGATTGTTTCACAGAGCTGTGCTTTAACTAGTCTACCAGGGAGGGCCCCCGTGATGGTTTTAAAGCAACTCCGAAACTGGATTGTCCAAATACCAATGCTTACTGGGATACAACATGCTCTTCGAGAAATTTGTACGCAGTGTTCAGTGCATACATAGGGCTGCTTTCCAGCTATACAATGACTGGAATGTTTTCTTTACCTTCATTTTTGGCAACCAACTTTTTACCTTTAATTTGGCAGAAAACATTCATAGTTTAATGTTTGTTTACTTTGACTTCTTTTTTTGGCATTTAAAGGATGGAACTGGAAGTTGTTTAAAAAGATAAGTATGAAGACTGACTGCGTAGACTACCAGTTCCGACTAGAGAAAAGGTTGAGCTAGCTGCCTGATTCTGGGCAATAGGAATCTTGGATTATCCTAGACTGAGAAGAGGGATTGATTAATAAGCATTCCAGATTTACATTTTAAAGATTCATTTTTATTTATGTATGCATACAAGAAGGGAGGTGTAGGCCAGAGGTGCAGGACATGAGAGGATTCACCAGGGACAGAGTGGGGAGCAGGAACAGGCAGATTGATAAAGTACATTACTGAGGGGAGCATCAGGTGAGACAGGAGAGGTCTGCTGCGCCATGTGGGTCACCTCCCTGACAGGAAATCATATTTATGCTGCAGTGGCTGCAGATAGTTTCACAGTGCTGAGATTTAACCTCTTGTACCACCAGAGTGGCTCTAGATTTACATTTTAATGAAAACTTCCAGATCAGTCCAAATTTCACTCTAATGGAAATTTTCTTTTGTTTCTCCATTTATCCTTAAACTACCAGCACCCTCCCCCCCCCCCGCCCCTCCAGCTCCTGCGTTCTCTCTTGGTGGGTCTTGTAGGAGTTAGAAAGTGTGCCCTACTTTCTATTACTCTTAGGATGGTTTAATAAGCCACAGCACAATCATGCCAATATTCATTTCAGAAATTGTAGCTGTATTAAGGGAAGCTTTAAAATAAATTTTAATTACTCCTGGCTCAGGGATCTATAGTTCTGCTTACTCCTAATTCAGGTTGCATCTCCCAAATAGAGTTGGGCATACTCGAAACCAAGAGTTGAAGTAAGTCATGTACATCGAAGACTTTAACATTATCACATCTGAAAGTGGGGGTTTTATGGGGCCTGAAAACCCTCTGAAATTGCTGGCCACCTGTGTACTGACAGGCATTCTTTCTGGGACAGAGGACACATATCATTCATTAGATCTGTAGACAAAAGAAAAGAAGACCCATTTCCCTGGAGGAAACCTCAGGACTAGTGAAATTTCATGTTCCAACATGCATTTCCAAAAACGAAAGCATTCTCAGCTACCTCAGACATTAAATTGAAAAACTGATGACAAAAATACATATTCAGAAAACATCAGCCACATCTGGGCCCAGCTGGCTCAGGAATCATGTCAAGAAATAGTTGAGGTGAAAGATCAGAGATCTTAGAAGACTTTCCAAGTATATTGGATTTCATATTTGGTAAACCTATCTGGAGGCAGAATGGTGAACTAGGGGAAACATGGGGCTCCCTGGCTTTGGATTCCTGATCTGCCTCTTATACTGACATTTTCGTACTACAGTAATATAGCTTTACCTGGGCTCCTTGCCTCTTTTGAAATGAGGTGGCTGCACTAACTCGCCTCTTGGGTCCTTTGGGTTCTCATAGTCAGGATTCTGTGACCTGAGAGTTGGAAGTCTGCCTGCATCCTAGACATATCAGTACAGGGCCCTCCCTGGTGGCACAGGGGATTAAAGCACAGCACTGTGAGGCTGTCTGAGGCCATGCAGCGGGTTCGATCACTGGCCAGGGAAGTAGCCTGAGAGCCAGGGAGGTGACGTGGCAGACTTCTCTTGTCTCTTGTCCCACCCGCTGCTCCCCTCAGCATTGTATATCAGTCAGTCCACCTGTTCTGTCCACTCTGTCTCTGGTGAGTCCTCTTGCACCCCACATCTCTGGCCTGTGCCCCAGTTCTTGTGTGCATAGGAAGATAAATCTTTAAACTAAAAAAGGAAAATAATATCAGGACAGTGCCTAATCCAATGTGTAGCAGTATTAAAGAGCAAATATGGAATTCATTAACCAATGGCTCCATTGCTTATAATCTGAGACTCTAAACAAATTCATTTTTTAAGCCTTAATTGCATGCTCAGTACAATAAAAATAGTAACTTTTTATATACCCTTACATCACCCTGCCTAAATTACTAATGCTGTTTATAGCAGTATTTCCCAAATGTGTTCTGTTACAAGTTACAAAGAACTACAAGGAATTTTAATGGAAAGAAAACGAGTAATAGTAGTTTAAACAAAATTAAGTAGATTATTGTCTTCCTCATCACCTGTGGGTAGTTCACTTGCTAAATGGATCTGTTTAGGCAGATCTGTTGTGGCCTTCACTTATTTTGACCTTTGACCCTTTCTCATGCAGCCCCTCAAGAGGTTAATGGTTCTCAGATGACCACTTGGGGTATAAAAAAATGTAACTTAAAGATGCAAGTGCAATGGCTTCTAGTTATTATAAATTTTCCTAACTTCATTTTCTTTCCCACCCAGACAAAAATATTACAGTTCATCTTTCATAATTTTAAGTTTATGTCAGGATTATTACATCAACAACATCTGGGCAAATTCCAGCAACTAGAAGGCAAATTCTTTCCTTCCCTGTCAATCCACTCACATGCTTCAAGTTTCAAGATAGTCAGCTGCATGCTATTTGCACCTCCTAGTCCCAGAAACTCCTTATCTCTTTATAGATCTCATAAACATCAAGATTTACGGGTCAATTTTTGATAACAGTGAGGACAGTGATGTCCTTGTCAGCATGTCAAACGTTTTTGTTTTTTTTTGTGTGTGTGTGTGTCAAACGTTTTTGAGTGACTGAAATGTGCCAGATGCTCCAGCAGGTTCAGAAACACAGGGTCCATTAAACTGTATGAACCGCCACGGAGCACTCATGAGCTCCTGGACATATGGAACACAGTCAGTACCCAGATAGAGTCAATGCCAGCTGGAAGAATACTAGAGTGCAGGGAAGAGAAAGTATGTCACTCTCATTGACTTAAACCTGGGGAGCAAGCCAGAGTTTCTGCCAAAGCACTTTCTCTAGAGAAGTGCAGTGTAAAATGTGAAGATGAAGACAGGTGATAACCAGTACAGAGCAGGGCATCAGCTGAAGGCTACTCAAAGTCTGCCTTTGAGGGACCTGTGCACAGGAGTGAAGCTAAGAGCAAGGTCTGAGGCCCTCCCTGTTGGCACAACGGGGTTAGGATACTGCAATGCAAGCTAGCGGCAGCCGCTTCAGTGCTAGTTTGATCCCCAGCCCCAGAGGTGATCCACATGGCGTGGCAAACCCCTCTTGATCGTCCCGCTGTTCCCCTCAGCAGTGTACTTCGTTGATCTGCCTGTTCTGTCCCCCACTCTGTCTCTCGTGAATCATCCTCACTGCCTCTGGCCTGCACCCCAGTTTGTATGCATAAATAAATCTTAAAAAAAAAAAAAAGGAAAAAAGATGATCTGAAAGTAGTTTGTGCTAACAGCATTCAGTGTTCTTATAGGTGATTTGATGCCAATTGGCTTACCAAGCTAAAAAGCATCACCATTAGCTATAGGGTTAAGAAAGCCCTGGTCCTTTCCATATTGTGTTGCCTCAGTAACTCATCCCTCCCCTGTATTTGTTTCATGCACTTTTCTTCTTTCAGCTGCATATACATCTTTATAAGCTTCATTTCATTTGCTTCTGGTCACTCCTCTAACTTGTGGTTATGTTCACACCATTTCTACCTTAACCCATTCTCCAGGTAGCTAGCCCAGAAATGTAGGCACTTAACTTATCAAAATCACCACTGATCTGTCTCTTTTTTTCCCAGGCCAATGTCATATGTCCATTTTGCTATCCATTCCTATTCATAATAAATTACAATTGCCTTTAAAAAAATTCAAATGTGAGGGCTTAGGGTTGAATGTCCCAAACAGACAGTATCTGGTGTTGGTTTTATCTTTTTAAAGATTATTTATGCATACAAGAATTAGGGTACAGATCAGAGGTATTGGAGGGTGGGTGGTGAGAGTATTCACCAGAGACAAGCAGGTCAGGAGAGGTCTGCCATGCCATGTGGGTCAGCTCCCTGGCTAGGGATCAAACTCGTGCCTCAGTGGCTGAAGACAGCTTCATTGTGCTGTGCTTTAACCCTTTGTGCCACCAGGGAAGCCTGGTTCTGTCTTATCTTCGTTAATTATGTTCATGGCATAGCTCCAGAAAGTGGTACACTCTCATGAACATGACTGTGAGACACAAAAGAATCTGGAATCCCTAAGAAGTTTCTTTTTTCTTTTCTGGTTGAAAATTGGGGGTGGATCTCTTTTCCATCTTCTCCTAAATAGTAGCCATTTCAGCAAAGAGAAGAGAGCATCT